TGGGAACTCGAAATCAAACACGGTTTGTGCTAGCTCTTTGAAACTTGGCACAATAAAGTAGTTCAAAGTTCTATCAGTATGGTTTGATTTCTATTGATGTAGTCCCAAGCAGAGACTGACGAAAATCACTCTCATTTAAAAGGGTTCGCAAGCTTCCAAAAAACTACGAGTTTCCTGAAATCTCAACAAACATTTTTTAACCCAATCTTGATGATACTTTCAGGTAATGATCATTACACCAATCCCACTTGGGTCACCAAATTTCGTTTTTCTAGGTTAAACCGTTCGTTTGCAGTAACTGTTTTCATTTTTAGGTTTCACTCTGTTTTCTCTTATATGGATACATGTAGTTGGAACTCGAAATCAAACACGGTTTTTGCAAGCTCTTTGAAATTTGGAACAATAAAGTAGTTCCAAGTTATATTTGTATGGTTTGATTCCTACTTATGTAGCCCCAAGCAGAGACTGACGAAAATACTTTCAGTGTAAGGGGTTGCAAACTTCCAGAAAACAACGAGTTTCCTAAAATCTCAGCAAACATTTTTTAACCCAATCTTTACGATACTTTAAGGTAATGGTCAGAACATCAATCCCACTTTGCTCACCAAATTTCGTTTTTCTAGGTTAAACCGTTCGTTTACAGAAATCATTTTCATTTTTATGTTTCACTCTATTTTCTTCAATATGGATACATGTAGTTGGACCTCTAAATCAAACACAGTTGGTGCTAGCTCCTTGAAAATTGGCACAAGAAAGTTGTTCCAAGTTCTGTCTCTATGGTTTGTTTCCTACTTATGTAGCCCCAAGCAAAGACTGACGAAAATCACTTTCATTGAAAGGGGTTGCCAAGCTTCCAAAAAACTATGAGTTTCCTGATCTTAGCAAACATTTTTTCACCCAATCTTAATGATACACCAATTGCACTTGGCTCACCAAATTTGTTTTTTCTAGGTTAAACCATTCCTTTGAAGAAACCGTTTTTAATTTTAGTTTTCACTCTGTTTTCCAAGTATAGATACCTGTAGTTAAAACTCTAAAGCAAACATGGTTGGTGCGAGCTCTTAGAAACTTGGCACAATAAAGTAGTTTCAAGTTCTATGTCTATGGTTTGTTTCTTATTTATGTTGCCCCAAGCAGAGACTGACGAAAATCACTTTCACTGAAAAAGGTTGCCAAGCTTCTAAAAAACCACGAGTT